AGTTCTAGTAAAGAGGAGTTGATTGACTGAGCTTCTTGGAGTCGTTCACCCTGAGCTTTTGTTTTCTTRATGCGTTCACTTCCAGCAAGATCACATCTGATATAATAAAGGAGGAAAAATACAGTTTTCCCATTCCAATTCGAATCCATCCTTCTATTTATCCATCGATCCATCCATCACATCCAATCTTTAATGCATTTACCTATCCATCTATTTTTTATTGTTTATTCATCCATTTATTCAACTATTAATTCATTAATTCATTTACTCATTCATTCATTCATCTATCCATTCGTTTTTCCTTCCTTCCTTCTTTCCTTCCTTCCATCTTTCCTTCCTCCCGTATCCCTAGAAGCAAACAAGACACGGGTAGAGTCATCTTACATGTAAAGTCGACCTCTAACTGTAGAAGCTCCATTCGTCAAGCTGTTGACCTTAGCGAAAATATCATCATCTTCCTGAAATAGAAGCACGTCTCTATCAAAACACTATCAGTTAATACTCGAGGTCATCGTGTATCAAAACAGCAACAGTAGTAATCGTCACACGACCAAGTACTTCAGTTTTAGCAACAAGCAGCATGATAGTAGACTTTCTTAGGAAAGCATAGCCGAAGAACGTCTGCGCGTGCCTAAATCATCGAGCACGGTGTGCATCAGCTGATGAAACGACGAAGGGGAAATGATTTGCAGGGTTGGGAGGGTAGGGATCAACTAAGAAACTTGGAAACAATGAATGAATGAAGGTAAAGGGAGGAAGGAAGGAATGGATGGATGGATGGATGGATGGATGGATGGATGGATGGATGGATCGGAGCTGGATGGATGGATGGATGGATGGACGGACGGACGGACGGATAGAATAAAGAAAAAAGGAAGAAAGGAAGAAAAAAATTGAAAGAAAGGAAGACAGAAAATACACAGATAGACAAGCGGAATATTTGATTCTTCGCATCATACAAGGTGAAATATTTTTCACATTTTATATTGCACTTTAAAGTATTGATTTAAGTCAAAAAATTCTAACGTATGAAGGAAATAAATTAATGAATGAATATGTGTCATTTTCAGTGAAAAGCGGACCACTTAGGAGAAATGAACTGTACTGTCAAAAACACAAGCAGTTGCTTCAACCTCAAAACATCTGTCCAAAATGAAACTCAACTTACGAAAAACGCTTGCTAATAACTTGATTGTATTCAGTCTAGCTGGATATATCTTATTAGAAACCTGGTGTTTCAGCAAGTGTCACAAATAGTCACATCAACAGACAGATTGAATTACGCCAGGCGTCTAACCACATATCGTCCAATCAACGAAGATGTTCTTTCATCTTGTATTACTTCCAACCTTTTCAATTTGTATTGAATAAGACACATCTTTTGTGCAGTTATAGTGGGAGTTCTCTCTTGAACTGATTAGAAAACACTAAAAATTCCAATAAAATCCAAAAAATCAAATTGGCCCCACTTAAATTGCTAATATACTGGTTCGCAGGATCTGTCCAATCACGTTTGAGAAATTTTCTTCTCCTGTCATAGTTACAAAGGTTCGTTTCCTTTTAGTGAAAAGCAATTTGGGGACATCACACTAACTTGGACAAAATTTGTACGTCTTCCGATGGATTGCTTCCGCCTTAASTTGACTGCAGTTAAATAGAAGTTTCTACGGTTTTGCTCTATCACCAAATGATCATAATGGCTCTGATCTCCTAACATTTTGTTYAGCCATCTCTTGAAAGCTGGAGACAAATTCATATTTTTCATATTTCAGGAAACATCTATTAATTTCTTCTAAGTTTTTGTTTTCAAGTCATGAATAACAGTTCTTCAGAGCAGCCGTTAATGACTTTTAGTGTGCCGTCACAGAATACTGAAGAAGAGCCGGACTTGTTCGACAACCATAATAGCTATTTTACAGCTTTGATGCTCATTATTAACATTTTGGTAGCATTTCTGGCGACCTTTCTGAACTTGTTCATTATTTTGACTTTTGTGMAGACACCAGCTGTTCGAGAAACCCCTTCGAATGTTCTTGTCCTCAACCTTGCTATTTCTGACTTCGGAGTTGGTATATTGTCAGCGCCTCTGAACTCCGTTTGTGAAATTGCTAACTTAATCGACCTGAATTACRAGGAAATACGAAATGCCTTTATCGGCGTAACTATTCTATTATTTATCATTTCATTTTTCTCTGTTTCTGCCATCACTRCAGATCGATTTCTGGCTATTCATCTTCACCTGCGCTACCAAGAGATCATTACAATCAAGCGATATGGCATAACTGTATCATGCATTTGGATAAGTAGTTTGTTGTTATGTGGATTAAGCATCGAGCTACATGCACTAGGATACAGGATAGTGCTTCTTTCTATAATCTGTGGCATTGTATTCGCTAACGTATTTTTCCTCTTCAAGATCTCACGAGTCATTCGGCGACACTCAATGCAGATCCACGCCCAAMAGCAAACAATACAACAGTCCATAGACATGCCCAGATACAAGAAGTCAGTCAACACCATGCATTACATCATGTTTGGATTTGTTATTTGCTATTTGCCTTTTCTGGGAATGTTATTTGTGGTATTTGTTTTCCGAGACACGAAAAGGGAGAAATGGACTACTTTCGTGCTGTCTTCAAGTATTGCATTTATGATGTTGAATATAGTGTGATGAATCCTATCATTTACTGTTGGAGGATT